TGTTTTCCCTTTCTTACTCTAAGTTGGGAATCTTTTCTGTGTCACTTTACATCTCCCCTTGCCATTATCATTTGTAATGTATATTCTTTTGGTGGTTAGCAACTTCCAGCCTTTTAACTGGAAATAGGATAAAAATGGGTTTCCTTGAGCATGAAAGATCTCTTGCTGAGGTTTTATTCTAGTAGATCACCATTTTCATCTACCCATCTATGATTTTGTCCAATTTAGTTCTATATAAGTTTCAGCATGTTCAAAATAACAGCAATTCAAAAATGTTCTCATTCCAAGGTATCTGTGAGAAGTCATCTACTTCTTCCCTATTAACCTTCCCCTCTTACACTTCTTCTTCCAATCCCCTTAATATGTGAAGCAAGTACGTTAGGGTGAATCTCATGGAGCAATGGCATGAAGGAGGTAGATGGAAAAAACCATTATTTTGCCAGTATCATCAGAAGTGATTTGATGACAAGTGTCTCTGCTAGAAATAGAAGCTCTGTGAGCGAGGGCAGTGAGCTGCACAGATAGGCCCTTCAGCAGAAACCTGTCTAGAGATACAGGATCACAAAAAGCTAGGAAGCACTTGATGTTGAGAGGGAATTACGCAATTATCAGGAAATATTTATTTTGCAGATGAGATGTAAATATACTAGAAAAATAGGGGAACTTGGCTTAAACACAGCAGAACAACGAGAGGAGGCATGTGCTAAAAGAGTTTGCATGTGAATGCCTGATCACAGGAGCTGGAGGACACAGGAGATAGTGCAACTTGTTCAACAGATTGACTGAAGATTAGGACTTTTATGGAGGGAAGATAAATTCAGGAGTCACAGCAGAATTCAAATTAACACAAGTGTGTGTGTGTGTGTGTGTGTGTGCGTGTGCACGTTTATGTATGAAAAAACAATAACTGGACAGCTATATATCACAATTTGTGTGAAATAACCACCCACCACATCTGAGATGGTTCATTTGGACAAAGATTACCCGACCAACTAATAACAGCATCCAAAAAGTACATATAGTATTTAACAGTTTGGATAGTGAAACATCAAAAGAAAAAACTTTGCCCTATTTTAAATGGTCAGCATATAGGCTGAGACAGCAGCATGCCTTTTCTAAGGAAATACCTATATACCTTTCTCCTTCAGACTACTAGGACAAAGTCTCCAGTGAATTCTGTGGAATTCATACAGAACTACAATCACTAGTGCTACTGAGAGGATATTAATGAAATTAGTTATTGCAAATGTGGTATTTTGTCTGTCATTTTGTCAAAAATGAAGTTATTTTCTCCCAGTCTTAGTAGGTGAATGAAAATAAACATGGCGTGGAGTGTAAGACCATGTCACCACAGCTGAGATATTCGTGAATATAATCTCTTGAATATTTATTGTAATCGCAAAAGGGAAAAAAAATCCAGAAAAAAAATTTAACAAAATCCACTTGGTATACAGAAGTCACATACAAACACAATACCCAATGAAATACACATGGTCTCTATGTCCTCACAGAACTAAAACTCTCCACATAGATAAAACTTGTACTTCACATTCAGAAAGCTCCTGTGGAAGATTCACAACATTTGACACCCAGCAGCATTCTAACTAACATATTTTTTTAAAACCACAGTAACTATAGTCAGGGGAGAAGGCACAGATTGAGTCTCACCCCCTCACAAAGGTATCCTAAGCAAGTACTTCAACTTTTCTTTAAGAACAATTCAGTTAACAAGTTAGTTTGAGGGAACCAGAACAGCTACATATTTTAAAGGTAAGCATTTATCTTTGTGCATGTAATCACATGCCTATGAGGAATAATAAAAAATCTAGGTAAAATTATCTGCCAGCCCTTGAACTGTCAGGTCACTTAGCAATAAAAAGTTTACATAGTCCTGTAGAAGTCTGTATATTGTATATTTCTATTTAAGTGGTACCTCACATTATGACTACTACTTTGTCTCTTGCTCAGCTACAATGATGCTGAGAATTTCCTTTTTTTGATTAATAATCCCCACTTGTTCTCCATATACATTTTAATTTCACTCTGGTCTTCTGTATAATTTTGCAGAAGTTTTAATATCAGAAGGTACAAAGAAAATGAGAATTTTAAGGACTTTTCAGGTCATTGCAAGTACTGTCCTGTGCTACTTAATGCAATCGCCTATCTCAGAGAAACTATTTGATGACATAGGAAAGGAAAACCTTGATACTTACTGGTTTCCAGCAGGCCTTAGAGTTTCATTATTTTCCTGATCAAGCTAATTAAAAAAAACCCAACCAAACAAAACCCAACTAAACCCCAAAACCTAAATCTACCTTATACATTGTCACAAAAATGTGTCAGATCAAACTAAAAATCTACTTATGTACTTTAGTATGGTACTAATGAATATACTTTTTAATGAAATTTGTTCAGCAAAACCAGTTCCTCCCATGGCCCAGACACAGTGGCCTATACATATATATATTTAGCAAATTCCCAAGACAGAAGACACATTCCTTTGAAACCAGAGATGTAGCAAGAATTAACAGACTCTGTGGGCATGGCTGTGAACCCATGGTGGACCAGGACCAGTGATTCAGGGTTTAAGGTCCTGAACATACCCAAGGGTGTTGCTAACTAGTGATGGCCTTGCTCATGTTCTAGAACTACTAGAAATATGCAAGGCTAGCAGGAAAGGAAAAATAAATTATTGGATGTCTCCTGTTAATTTCATGGTTAGATTTTGACCTGCATTTGTACCTGAGCTTTACTCCTAACAGTGGAGTTGTTAAACTTTGAGTGACATGTAACAGTGGAGTGAAGAACGTGGGTCAATATATTTAAGGATGTGTCTTCCATCTTTAGAATCTAGAGAAGTTAAGAAACTTAAATGTCAGAAGTGACTAATTAAGGTCAGCATCCACTGTGCTGTGCTGCTGAGTGTGACCTTCAAGCTGTTCCCAAAAATGTTAACCCAGGGCATCAACTGAAGTCTGACAAGTCATCTGCAAGCATATTGGGTACCCCTATTTAGTATTTCAGGTAAGTATTGAGCTAACAGTATCAGATGAAAGAAAACATGCTCACATGATATTATACAATACAGGCAGACAGAGCATGTAATTCACTCTAAATAACTCAACGTAACTGCTGAGCTCTAAGTTCTTTTAATGCCTCTAGAGAACGTGCTTTAAAATATGGGTGGACAGTCTAGCAATGGTTACAGGCATCTTCTGACTGAACGTGCTGTCCCACTAGTGTTGGCGTAACATGACAATTTTCAGAAAAGGACACTCACAACTCTAACAGTAAAATTGACATGCACTTGCAGTAAACATACAAATATTTTTTACCATTGTCTCATATATGAAAAATAGTTCAAGTTACTTAAGAATGTCCTCACACTACACTGGTAAAGTGTTTACTATAGAATTTTTCTAAAAGACACGTACATCTACTGGAAATCTTAAGCCACAAAGGCATCATCACAGCTTATCACACATATATGATGCTTCTCCCTTTCACACAAGTTTATATACACTGAGTAAATAATTAAATATTGCACTTATTGGCCCATGATCCCTCAGTTTTGAGGTATTCAAAAATAGAAAACATATCTAGTTTTTGTAACATAATTTCATGCAACATTTAAGACATTTGAAATCCACGAACACTAGTATATAGATTACACATTGTGACAGTTCAACTGAGTCACAATGTATCTGACATTATTGACAAAATACTGAACAGGACTTACAGCACAAACGTTTCTTTTATCACTAGTTGCAGGTACATGTCAGAATTACTTGAGGAAATTTGTCACCAGAAGTGGTGAGCAATCTCTAGCTTTCAGTTCTGCGTGTTGTGCATGATCCTGAACTTATTGGAAAATTAGCATTTTTGCTCCCCCCTCAGATCAATACCAAATACCTTATTCTACAAATGACAAGCCATCTACCTCTGCTGGAACCACAGATAATAAAGTAAGGTCTTCAAATGTAACACATTTGATTTCCAGTGGTAATGACAATTTATGGATAAATTCCACTGTGACATTTAGGGAAGGTGGCACTGAACATGAAAAAGTAACAGTGGGGACTGAATGAGTATCAAAGATGTACTGCTGTGTATATGTGCATACTATATGTTACAAATTCTGCTTCACTGAACATCCATGGATAAACCAAACCAAACCAAACCAAGCCAAACCAAAAAGAAAAAAAGCTTAATTTGCAGAGGTGAACTATTTACCCCTAAATAAATAAAACTGGTAGAATTCATTCAAATAATTGAAATGAGTTGCCTCTTTAAATGGGACTTGATAAATGATGAACCTTGGAGAGTCTGGAGTGAGAATGTATGGATTTAATGGTGTAAATTAATACAATCTACTCCCCTGTTGGCATAGGTAAACACATGTTGCTTTACACCCCCTGAGGGCTTATCTGTGAGGATTCAAACTCATGATCTCACATATCTGTCATCCTAAACAAGAATTAGGCTTATACACTGTGTGTCTATATAAAACAGGCCAAGAAGGAATTGGTCAGTCAGCAGAACAGAAATTTAGTTGATGCTGTAAAAATGCAAATAATAAAACTTACCTCTCACAAACAAATATAAAAAGGAGTAGTTGGGGAGGAGTGGAGTTTGGGAGAGGGCTTCTTTTTGAATGCAATTGCAGCATCGTTCATCTGCCACAGACGAAACAAATGCATCCACATCAAATGTAGAATTTTTGTGACTATTTTTTTCTTAAAAATGGCAAACTCAAAGCATTCTCAAAGTTAGGATCAAACTCCAGCAGATTTTGTGCATCCTGAAATAGCACTTCGTTTCTAAAATAAAGAAGGTGCAGGTGGTACAGATGAATATACAGAGCTGAGCAGACTGGGAAGAAAGCTTAATCTTTCAGACTGGTGCTCTGGAAAAGGCCACAGATGTAGTTGCTCAGGCATTACATTAAGTATAAGCACAAAGGAACAAACAGTTCCAGGTAACAGACACTTACACAGCTGTTCAGAGAGAAAGAGTATTTTTTGACAGAAAATCAGGCTAGTTCATATGCACTTAAACCAGCAAATGAACAAGTATTATTAAAGTCTAAATAAATTGGTCTACTCACGAACAATAAAAATAAAAAATACAGCATTAAGTTAGTTGCACTTAGACCTTGTGAACATGAACTCTTAAAAGAAACAAAAACATGCGTCTGAAGGTTCAACCCAGCAGGGCTTGGTAGCTGTTCAGCAGGCTGGTACCAGGAGACACTGCAGGAACCACTCAATCCCATGCTCCTGTGTGCTCCCAAGACATTTTCTGAGTACTAGTTTGAAGGTACAACAAGCAACACTCTATCAGAGCATGATAAGGCTGGTGCCATGCGCAAAATTAGCCTGCTTCTATAAGCTTTAATCTAGATCATAACTTGGAAAATGGGTTGTATCGTATTAGTTCAGCTGGCACTATGGATCTCAGGACTCTCTGTCCTAAGGCATCTAATCTCTCAGAAATTTAACATGCTCTGTGTGTCAACTGCTGTATCTCACCAGATGGATAAATCTCAGCTGAAGGGGGTATCTTGTGATTAGGCTGTGACATTCAGTTATATTTCTGTGCTGAGAGTGACAACAAATTGGTGCAAGGTGTGCAAGTACTTTTTCACCAAGATTTGTGATGAGGCTGAAAGTAGTTTGGGATCTGCTTTCCCAGGCTTCAGTTTAATAATCCAGCCCCTCTTCCATCACTAAAATATGGTGCTTTGTAGCCTGGTAATTGCTCTAGATGGAATTCGCTACGCTAGTGGATAGATCAAGGATATAATAAAATCCTGGTTTTCTCTTCCAGCAACTCATAGTCCGTGATTATTAGAAATGTGTGAAGAACAAGACATTGATTGCTTAAATTTAGGCCCTTGATCAAGTTGTGATTGGTTTTCCCAAAATGTTCAGCCTACTCAAATTTAAGAAAAACTGCAGTACTACCACATAAGTCAAGAGGATCCAAGCCAGACTGACACAGACTGCTTTTGGATGCCCTATCCTATAACAAGCCAAGGCATAATTTTAAATAGAATAAAAATTCCAATACTGCTAGTCCCCTCAGAATTCTTAAAATGTTTGGGGAAGGTATAGAAAGTTACTTTTCAAAAGCTTTTCTGTCATTATTGTTTCTCTACAATAGGCAAGTTCCAGCTGAGAGAGGTGCTGAGATCATAATGCTCATGATCTATATGTGACCAAATTTTATAGCAGAAAACTCAATATTTCTGTAAAGCATGTGGCTGCAAAAGCCAACCTGTGATGGAAAATCAAAACCTACTTTTCCAATAGTAGGTAACCCAAATTGTTAAGAAAAGGTTTACTTGAACTTCCACCCATTTTCAATTTCAGAGAAAGTCATGATAGCATAAATTGGATTTGATGGGACTTCAGCAGGTCATACCTCCCAGCCTTCTACTCAAAACAGTATCAACTGAGAAGTCTGAGCAGTTTGCCTAGGGTTTAAACAGTCTAATTTTGAAAAACTCCAAGTAGAAAATTTAAAAAATTAATCTAATTCTGAACTTCACCAAAGTGTCTGCCTGTCAACACAAAATTCCTAGATTTCAAATACTGACTGGTTCTGCTGCTGTACTTTAGATGAGTTTTTAACTTTTAAGACATTTTTGGTACTCTAAGGAACAACATTACTCTGGCAGCTGCTTCCCCCTTCCTCCCCATCCCATGCAGAAAGGCAAACAGCCTGGAGGCCTGGGAGATTAGTTGTCTCAGAAACATGAAGCAGAGATTCTCCCTCTGATTTTGCTGTTACTCTTCTGCCCATGCGAAATGAAAAGCAATTAATTAATCCCATTTATGTAAAGAACTCTTTATCTACCACTCAAATTTTTTAAAAAGATATATGCTAATAATGTATTTCCACCATTAGAGTCTACATCGTTATACTGAGGTAGGGAGGGTCTTAAATTCGTTGCAATGGAATACAAGCATCTGTGGCTGTAGTAAGGGGCATCTTGAAGTCTTTTTTTCCTTGTTTCATTGTGCACAGGAGATGACAGTTTTGCAGCAAGCATCCCAGAGCAAAGCTGGAAGAATACTTGTGCTTTTAGCCATCTGCAGGATATGCCCATATGGATGATGTGATTATGTCCTTCTCTCTCCTCACCTTGCCTAAGATGGTTCAGACTAATAATACAACCTAAAATTTTTCTAAATCACTTGAGACCTGAAGCTGAATTCTGTCTCAAGGCTTTCCTGATCCTTTTTCTCCAGCAGGAATAACTGTACATTAACAATAAAAGCATGGAAAACTGCCCACTGTTTCAAACTAAGCTTCTTCAACTTTGCATTGTTTCCTTTTTTTCAAATCAGCTGGTACCTAGTGGGTAAAGAGGTACTAATGAAAGTCTCTCAGGACAGTTAGCAACACACTGCCTTAGAGGAAGGAGGGAAAAGCAGTACCCCAGAGAGAGACAGGACTGTGGTTTGGATAGCACGTGCCTCTTCCACCTGACTGCTCATTGGCCCTAAAAAGGATAGTGCTTTCTCTTCATGGTCTCTAAGTCTACTAGGAAAAAAGTGCTTAAGTAAACTAGCTAACAGGTGTAAAACCTCAGACTGAACAGAGAACTTTTACTCATTTACGTTATGCAGCCAATGTGGGCACCCTCATGGCATACCCATTTTACATGTGTCTATATGCCTTGTTTGGGGGGAATTTTTACTCTGTAAAAGTGTATGTAGATTATTTAATCAGTTAGAAAAAAGGGACCATTTTCTCTTATTGTGTATCAGGAGTTACATAAACTACCTTCAAATAACATAAAGTGTGTAGAGGGATTTCTTTGCAGTTGTGAGCCATTTCAAGTACCATGTGTTACTTCTGGGGTTTTTTATATGTTTTCATTTTCCCTCTGCAGATGGTTTAAGAAATGTCAGCCTTGTCCTAAATTCTGTCTAACTGGAATAATAAAATAGGCAATGCCTCTTCAATTATGTTTAGTTAAAAAATGTCATTGTAATGCAAGTAAAGCAGTTGTACAAAGTACCCCAGGGCACAGATGTAAGCAATTACTTAAAGGAGTAAAAACTGTGAAATATGACTATTTTAACACTTTATTAAAAATAATTTGTGTACTTTATTTTGCTATCTTCACAGCCTTTTGCTCATCTTATTAATGTATTCAGCGTAAGACTAGAAATGTTCTTGACAATTTTTTATTACTCCTAAACTTTTAAAAATTCCAATTCTCTTGCCAAAATAGATGGAAAAAGTGAGGTCAAACTTCAGTTCACTGACACCATCAGCACTTCTGCAATAGGTCTAAGTAAAATACAAGTGTTTGTAGCCAGTGGTGGCTGTCTCAGTGACTGAATGGGAGATTAAATTCCTGAAAATCAAAGCATGGAGGTTTGACAGCAACATGATAAGGAAATTTTTGGCTATGAACAACCAAGCACAATGGATTTGGCTCTGTCAGGGATAATATAGAGTGGTTAATATCTCACATGGGTAGAAATGGAAAGAGTTAACCAGCCATCCACTATAGAGGATCTCCATAATGATGGAATGAGAAATTAAGTCTAGTTTCAGAAAGTTATTAGATAGAAATGCAGCTCCTACAGAAAAGTAAACACACTAGCTATCCAGACAGGATAAAGTACCTATTATCTCTGAGGGTCTCGACTGATTACCATCCAAATGGAAATTCACAGAGAATTTTGGTGGCTTTGGGTCCAGGAACTAACTTCTTTCTAACTTCTGCAGTTTCCAGTCAACCAGGATGTGTAACATAATGAGTGTAGATTTGCCAAGGTAATGTGCTCCAGGAAGTGTCCCTTATACAAATGACCTGGACAGAATGAGGGATTGTCTCACTACAAGGATACTTCTAAATTAATTTTCAGTCAGGAGAATATATAAGTGGCATCAGGAGGCTTATTCTAAAACACCCTGGCCACTACCCTATGGATTTGATTATATAACTTGAAAGTGATGAAGTGAGAGACAATTCTAGGCAAATGTGGTCTGAGGACATGGCACCAGCTGAAGTAATTGTTATGTAAAACAGTAAAAGGAAAAGAGAAATTAATAGCCAACCTGCATGCAAAAGCCAGATGCTAAAATATGGATCATCCTTTCAGACTAATAATTGCTCCATCTCCATACACATACTCAAACTGCTGCTGACATAAAATGAGACTGTTTTCCCAAATAAATTAATAAGACAGTAAAAATAAAGGCATATAGACTATTCATAAACACTCTGAAAAACTCTGTTGGCAATGGAACACACTGGAGCCTTTGCTGATAGCTGCATTAACAGCTGCAGTTGGGCTGCTGTGGAGCAGGGGTGTCCTTTAGCCGTGTATTGTGGTTGCTGGTTGTGGTGGGATTCATCTCCAGACTTTCTGACATTTTGTCACAGATGATATCCACAAGTCGCTCAAATGTCTGCTTGACATTAATGTTTTCCTTGGCACTTGTTTCAAAAAATTCAAACCCTAAGAAAATAAACAACACATTTATGTTCAATGCATATTTCAGTTTCTCTGACAAATATACAAACTTCTCTTGGTCAAGGAAGAGTTGAGAGACACTCAGAAAGGAAACATGTGAAAGGACACAAACAAGAAGAGCAATTAAAATTTTAACACAATCAGATTAAATACACTAGTGCTATTTGCTTTATATAAAGCCAGATAAAGTCAGGACTGTTCTGAATATATTGCTTCAGTCAAACTCTACTTTAAAACATTCTAATCTAAAAATTGACAACATTTTGAATGTATTATTTTAGAAACACCCTATATATGCAGCCATTGGGAAGGAATAATCTGCTGCTCCATCTCTAACTGTTATGTTCCTCAGAGCATTATTCAGCTGGAAACAGCCACTTTCATTGTGTTATTAAGCTGGTGCCAAAATAGAAAACCACGTTTGGAAAAGTACAGGTAAAAAACAAGCAAGACAAGGAAAAATTTTTGCAATTTGATATTTGCTAAGGTTAGACGTGAATGCTTGGGGCAGAAGGGTTCAGTGACAATAAGAAGATGCCTGAGAAATGGCACCCACATTCTCATGGAGAACTTTGGTGGCTTTGGGTCCAGTTTGGGTCCAGCCTTGGAGAAGACGGTAGGAAGAAGAATAAATCTTAAGGACATTTATAAGTGAAGCAGTTTTTATAGTTAAGAAGACAATAACTGGCACATGAGATGATCATGAAATGGTCAAATATCACAGCTAGTAAGAGATCTGGACAGAGAAAAGCAGAAAGTGAAAAGAGTCACAAAGAAGAGAGGAGACTCATTTCGGGAAACACTGTAACATGGATAAGATCGAGAAAACAGGCCCACTGTCATGGTGATGATGTTTTGCATTAAGAACATCATAAAAAACTTTGAAGGCATTCTCTAAGTCAAATAAAGGGTACAATTAGCACAAACTAATTTATTCAAAGAAAATAAAAATAGACACAACAGCATGGTGATTTCTATGAAATTTTAGATACAATTTTGATATAAGAAAGAAATTGCAATCATAGTAGTAGTGTAGCTGGTTATCAGACTATGATGGTATTCCATCACCTTAGACATTAATTGCCTGTAACTTCCCAGCTAGACTCTGCTGCATAGAATAGACCATGCACTGACCTGTGAGAAAGTGGCTAAACTCCCAGCTGCCTCCACAACAAAGGAACCGGCTGCCTCTACAACAAAGGAAACACTGTTCTTTACAGGAACTGTACAGGTGGGAATTTTGGACAGCTTTAGAAATTAACTTATACAAAACCTCCCTATAAATTAGATTGGTTCTTTTTGTTTGTTTGTTTAACTTAAACACTGTCTGTGGAAAAGTTCCTAAGAGACATAGAGCATTTTTCCTAGTGGAGCGTGCCTGTAATAAACACCTGAATTTTGGTTGTTTTCATTTTGTTATGGAATATTTTGCAGATCTTTTTTCCCATGACCTCTCCTTCCCTCCTGACTCATCTTGCATTTATTATTACTAAGAGTGCTTAGACATCCTAAACTTCTAAAATCCCTGTGTATGAGGCCTCAGTTCTATAGCTTTTAATATTTTCTTCAGGATTTTTTTCCACTGCTCATTATTGATGGAGAGATTTTCCATGTGAGTATAAGTGTGAAGTGAGGCAACTATCTGGTGACGCTTAGAGAAGCATAGCTCAAAGAACACCATGTTCCCACCACCTGTGATGATCAGTACTGCTGATGTGCATGAGACTAGGTAGAACAGACTATTGCAAAGACATGACAAAGCCCAAGATGCAAGTAGGTAGGTAGTGCAGAACAGAAATGAAACTAAGAAAATCCAAAACATCAGAGTGTTGTCTGAACATTTGTACAAAGTGTGTGGAACATGCATTAGGATATTCTAATTTAAATGCATCTTTTGTGTTTAATTCAGTTTTCCCTTGCTGACTCTTTCCCTTATCTGCCTCCTTCCATACTACTGACTCAACGAAAGATGGCAAGCTGGCAGCTCCTACAGAGCATTACAGCAGCAGGGCTTGACAGGGCACTGGCGTGATTTGTTCATCTAGTGATCTATAATGCAAACAGAGCAGTTTAGAAAGCTTCTGTGAAGCATACAAACAACCAGAATAACTGACTTTGTTCCCTCTCTGCCTCACACTTGTGCTGGTTCTGCAGAGGCTCCTTCATGACTGCTCATTAACACCTGGTTTATGTTTGCTTTTAAAACATAAGGAAGCAAAAAGCCTAGAAAGCAGTCATATGCAAAGGCTAGAACATTCTGCAGCCTCTCATCTTCCTAAGAAAATGTGACATCAAAAGGACACACTAGATAGCAAATTTTAAGCACAATTCCACAGATAACACAGACAAGAGATATGTTAATGTTTCACCAGTTGATCAGGAAGACATTTTGATTTCAGAGTGTTTGTTCACAACCAAGACAATTTCATTTACCACTCTCGATGTCATGTTATGTTTTACAGATGTCCTCAAGGGTGTGTTCCTGCAATAACTATCATTCCATGAAGACAAGTTTGAACTGTGATCCTTAGTGCTGCTCTTCAATCTTAGTGCCTATTTCAATCTAGTATTGTGAGGAGTAGTAGAAGATTGCAACAACAGAGCAAGAAATGGCTGCAGGAAGCTGCTCCCTTTGTAACAGTGATATATAAAAGGCAAAGTCTAGGTACTCATGGGAATGAATAATTTAACAGTGTCATAGTGTATAAAGGAGAGGAGTTAATAAGGCCTTATTTTCTTGGATTTACATCCTGCAAGCAGTTCAGCAGGGGCACTGGCACTTACCTTCTTGCCTGCTATGAATAGTATCTAATAAGGTTTGCATTCACATTGTAGGTTGCCAGTCAAGGCAACTGCAAGACCTTCCTCCTCTGCTCTGATATCCACTTCCTCAGAACTGTCAATATCTTTTAGACAAAGAGAGACAGACATACATGGCATGACTGCAAAGGTCATCTCTCCTAGGAAACTGGACTAAAAGTAGATGGTGACCATTGCTGTTCTTCAGAGTATCTCCTACACAAGCAACTACAGCAGCAGATCTGATTATGCTGCGCTTTGCTCTGTAGATCAGACAGATCATTAGCTCTGCTGTCTATACAAGTCCAAGTGTGGAAGAGCAAGAATCAGGATGGAAATGGTTTCAGGAGTGGAAAA